AGACTACCTTCCACACCTACCTGTACCTTCCTGAAGGCTCTACCTGATAACTCTAATTCGTCCCAGAACAAAACATATCCCACAAACTACCGCATACTCAAATCCTAGGCTATCCTAAGATTTGCTCAGTCCCGTCAAACCAGAATCACAACAGACATATCAGGCTGCCCTACGCATGTAAATTATACACATAACAGGATCAAATAAACTTTCGAATAACAAAGTCTACCCTAGGACCACAACCAGATAAGGAACAGGAAATAAGGCCAAATTAATTATTCTAAGTCTATAAGATCCTAACCGTTTACAATTTTTAAAGCATACACATAGCAAAATCCATCCGACTATCATATTCCAAATATCAGTATAGCATGGCTAACATATTGGGGAACCACTTACTTGAGCTTGGCTGATTACGCACATTGCACTCTCCAAATATCAGTATAACATGGCTAACATATTGTAACAACCCAAATTTCCAACAAAGTTTTTCATTTTAAATAACCAAATTATTTCCATAAGATATAAAATTCCAATCACATTTGTTTTCAAAATCCATAACATCAGATTAATCATTCATAATATCATAGTGTCCCAAATAAAACGCCAGAGAGTGCATGTCGCGCCATCACGCCGGGCTCTTGCCCTTAGATACTGAAGTACCTGAAACAACCAACAAACTGTAAGCGAATTCTTAGTGAGTTCCCCATAACATACCCCACAAAATCCACATAGTCATATAAACCATATCGGCTATATAAGCCACATAAGACATGCATACAAACATATAAGGATGCCGTGGAAACCCTCTAAGGTCTTACTCCATGATACCGTGGGCTCCCCCCAGGGTCTTATACCAGCATGACATGGGCTCCCTCTATGGTCTTTACCTAGAATGTCATGGGCTTACCCCATGTTCTGATATCCAACTGCTACGGGCTCCCCCCGGGGTCTTCCATGAAAATAACATAGAGTCAACTAGCATACCATATATCACAGAAATAATTATCATACTACATAACACATATATAAACATATAGGGATGTCGTGGACTCCCTCCAAGGTCTTACTCAAGGATGTTGTGGGCTCCCCCAAGGTCTTATACCTACATGTCATGGGCTCCCCCATGGTCTTTACCTAGAATTCCATGTGCTTCCCCCATGGTCTGATATCCAACTGCCACATGCTCCCCCTTGGGTCTTCCATGTCTCACCAATAAGGTACTAGCATTTTCACATACATACATACTAGGCATATCAATAATGATTCCACAATAATTATCACAACTAACTGAATGGGTCGGCCTTGGTGCCTTCGACCCATTGGTATGGTGAGGAAATTCTCCTCAAATGTGAACTGTAGCTGAATATCCAAGATTCGAGTATCAGCTCTCTCAATTCCCTAATCATAAACAACTCTTTAGATACCACTCAACCCTTCAAACCCTTAAAAGTCAACCCTTGTCAAAGTCAAAGTCAAAGTCAACGCTCTGAATTGACCTTACTCGTCGAGTTACCCATTAACTCGTCGAATCCACCCCAAAATCAAAATAGCGATATTACGATCCAACTGGTCGAGTTTTTCCACAACTCGTCAAGTTCCTCTGTTTTCCAACAGAATCGGGGTAACCCCAACCCAACTCGCCGAGTTCACCTATCAACTCGTCGAGTTCTTTAGTCTGCCAACCTACTTAATGCATTAAGGCCTTTTTCTTAAGTCCATAGGTTCCAAACTTCAGATCCCCTTCATAGAGATGTCTACAAGGGTAAAGTTTCCAACTTTACCCCCAGGGATCATCTAATAAGCTCAAGTTCCTTTAAGGAAGGTCTTGACTCATTAAGCCCTTAAACTCTCATCACATCGTCCCAAAACACAGATCTGATGTCCAAAGGTGGACAAATCACATAATGTTTCTAACTTTACGTCCATGCATGCTTGAAACACTCTCCAAGGTCCATTTTAGGCTTCATAGTGGAGATATTGCATGAATGGGACATGGAGGCTATTAAAGTTTGCAACTTTAATCCTCTAGAGGTCTTATAGAGGCCAGATCTACACCCTAAACCTCTGGAATCCTCTTTTCTTTGGACATCCAAGCCAAAGTCCCAAAACCAAGCCCTAAACTACAAAATATGAGATCTAATAAGCTACATGTCATGGCTATGACTTTATACCTCCAAGATGCAGCCTTTGATGTAGAGTTTCTGGATCCAAGATCACTCTTCCAAGCTTGCTACTTCTCTCTTCAGGAATTCCTTCAAGAATCACTCCAAAACTCTCAAAATGTCAATGAACAAGTGAGGAAAACGATCTAGGGTTTCTTCTGGGCAAGGGAGGCTGGTAAGGAGGCCAACCCTAGAAGTTAAGTCTTTTAAATATTGTACAATGCCCGAAAAAATTAGGGTTTTCATCCCCAGCGTCAACTCGTCGAGTTGGGGCCCTCCAACTCGTCGAGTAGACCCTCAATCCCGCGTCCAAATAGATCCTTACATGACGAGTTGGAGCTCCCCAACTCATCGAGTTCCAGCCCAAACCCTAAAATGTTGAAAAATAAATAATACCTGAATCAAGCGTTACAAAGACTATATGTAGTGGGATAGTTTGTGACTCAAATTGATAAGTGTCATTTCGAATATTAAGTTATACAACATTAAATTAATAATATGACACTACTGGTCAAGGTTTGTTAACTTACATTTAATAAGTTATTAATATAAACCCTTCACTTTTGCATGAAAAACACAACGATTAGGAGTTTGCCTCGCTTATTTATATCACTTTCCAAATTAAGTAAAATGATTCTTAATAATTATTGAGAGACGAACACACAAAATTTATGTGGGAGACATTTTCCCCACCGATTATGTGTTGGTTTCCAAAATAAGTAAGATAACACTTAATAAAAACTATGACACGACCATAAAAATTGTATAAACTCAAAAAATATGAGTCGTACATACAAACAATACAATTGATTATACGAAATTACAAGAGTGAAGTTGGTCATTTTATATTTTTACAAAGTGTGACACACCTTTATTTTATATAACATGATATTCAAAATCTTTATATAAAATGCATTTTGGTCACAGAAACCGTAAAACTTGATATAAGTTTGAATTAATTATATATTTTTCAAATTTTGTACTTTTGGATTTGAATAAACAATATTTCTATATGAATCCAGAAACGCTTTTATAACTCATATATTTTATACTTTTGTTAGAAAAGTACGTATTTATAAAAGCTGGTCAAATAGATAAAATTTTATAACAATTTCTTTTGGTTATAAAAGTTTTTCGTGTCAACACCTATATAACTCACAAACAATCTTTTGTTGACATATCTTAATGCATGTATTTTTAGGTTTATTAACAGGTCGGAAGAGTTTGCATACAAGATTTTCCGTTATTTTACCATACATTTGTAAACACCGAATTTGTAGGCGTGTGTCGTGATATAGCAATAGTCATCGACTACGTAATTTATTTTTCGGTAATAATAAAATATTATATTTATACTATTCATTGTATGTTCAATAATTGTGATCACTAATTTACATCGCAAACCTCGACGATTCTGCAAGCAGCGGGGGTGTGACAGTTACAACTTTCATCCCTATAGTACAAAATGCTAGATGTGTAATAATGATATTGCATAATTGGTCCCTATGTAAGAGTGACCTTATAGAAATGGTTTGTATGTAAATCAAAATTATAGTAATACTCTTGGTGTAGTAGCGAAATTAAAGAAATAAACTGTGTAAGAAAGGGTTACCTAAGTGGTATTATAATAAAAAATTAGTAAATTCGCCGCAACATGCAACATCCCCACTAGTTATATTCAAGAACAATATATGTAAAACTAAAAAAAGGATAACGATGAAAGGTTTAATTTTCGCGTGTTTCTTTTTATTTAATTAACACTTGTTAAATTTTAAAATCTAAACATATGCAAAACATATATTCCAACGAATCCAACTTAACTAACTCATCTTGACCCATTAACAACATATTTTGGCCAAACTTCATTTTTCACTTGTTCCCTTATCTATCTAGTTATTCACATATGTTATTTAATAGAACAATATGATTTATAAATGATATTTTTTGGCATCTAACTAAATGTAAAAATTAAGTAATCTTTATGTCTTGTTTTCCATGAAATGAACGTGTCACAACACACATAACTATTTGAATGAGTAATGTAAATGTATTATACTTAACTTTTTAGTTGGAACTTGGAAGAGAAAATGAGATATTTGTCCACATAGTGATCCAAATGCAAAATTTCATACACAAAATTCAAGGTTCAAATCCAGGCGCTTAGAATATATTTCTAGTTTTACGAGATTTACATCTAACATGATGGATCTTGGAACATATTCGATGTACGCAGTCAGTTATACGATTAACTATTTTTTAAATAAGATATATTAGAAGATATGAAAGAGTATACATACAAAGATCTTATAACCATTCGTATGTAAAAGAAAGTTTCATCTACTTGGATTGTCTTAAAAATAACATAGATATCTTAAATTTTAAAAACTTTATATTGGCGAACTATTCAATAAATTAATAAAATGATTAAGTTGGAAAACGAAAATAGTATGATATTGTTTTTGCCGAGTTTTCTAGTTTTATTATGTCATTTCCATGATATAATAACATGAATGCACTTAACATTTTTAGGTAAATGAAAACCAAAGAGAAAAATATTTCATTGTTTTGTCAAATCATTTAGGTGGTATAGCATATAAAATAACAATATTTATATGTATTTTAAGACGTAAAACTATTTATTCATTTATATATTAAATACCTTACATAATTTTGCTCTCACTTAAATCCCTATATATACATATGTGATTGTGTTATCACATGTTATAAGTCATCGATATAAAAATAGAAAAATTAACCTATATGATGGCAATTAAGTTTTTTGGTTGCATATGTTTCGGGTTTTTGATTTGCACAACTGGTATTGCTTATGGTAGAATGCTTGATGCAAAGGAAAATATACCTCTTGCATATGGAGAGGGTACAAGTAAGATTGGTTGTTCCACGCGAGACATGACATGCAGAGGAGAGAATATGTATAATAGAAAAGAATCGCTCAAGGAAAATATTGGAAAAATGTCTCGGGCGGACAATGGAATAAGCTACATCGATGATAATGGAGACAGTACTAAGAGTATACAAGGAGGAGGATGTGTGAATAATGACGTTAGCTGTAATGATCTTAGCGGACAACACATAAAAACCAAGAACAAAAGCTTCGTCAACAACAATGAGTACCTAAACATCGAAAAAAATGAAGTCATTACTAATAACAGAAATAACAGAAACAACAACGGAAGCCACAACAATATCGGAAACAAAAGTGGCAGCAACAATAGTGACATCAATGGAAACGTTTCTCAAAATGGCAATCAAACAGTCAACGGTTTCGGTAGTGGTAACAACAATAGCGTTGGAATTGGAGAAGGAAGTGGAAACGGTAATAACGCCTTCAACTATAGTGAAGGATCTCCTAAAGATCCTAGTTCAAAGTGATCATCTTTAACTGAAAGTGCGGAATTAAAATAAAATGGGAGGAAACACTTTGCAATATATCCCTATATATTTCTAAATAAATGAAATGGGAGGAAAGATTTTGCAATATATCCCTATATATTTCTAAATAAACTTCAAGTAAGCATGTGTGGTTTGACTTGATATTGAAGTTGTGTGTTTCATATTTACTAGTATATATTATATATGTCACTAAAGTAATAAATAAATGAATGATGTCATCTCTTCGTCTCTCGTATCGATATATGTACTCTTTTATCATACTCTAACTAAAAATACATGAATATTTTGGATCCCCAAAATTATCTTTCTAAAGAATCTTAATCATCCCTGTAAAAGTTATAATGAGTAAAAGATTACTTATAATTAACCACCACCTTAGTGGCTCACTAGTTAAAGATTGGGCACCCCATATGGGAGGTCTCAAGTTCAGACCTTAGTGGTTTCTCAATCAAGGGATGACCATGAGAAAGGTGTGTGACACATTTCCAAAAGGAGTTGTTGCTTAGCATCGTAGCTAAAGGTGAGTCCTCTCCCAGAACCTTGAAATATCGGGGAACCACAATGGACAACGGGGAACCCATTTATATATTATTTATAATTCATGTGTTTAATCAGATCATGATTAAATGTAATTTCAAGAACATATAATAAGTAAATAAATGTGTTTATAGGAAAGTTCCATCTCATGGTGGTTTTCTGAAGAATTTTAATTTCTTATAAGTTGTCCTCCATTGTTTTAACCGGGCCAAGGTCACTCTGAGTCATAAAGAGTTTATTGTAGAAAGCTTGATCAATCATCAATGCCAGATGGTGAATACTATAACTAAATCACTAATCATTTTTAGCTTTTACTATATTTTTTATATTGAAACTAACAACAAGAAGTTGGAATGACATGGTACAATACAAGGGGTTATTAGTACATGAATCATGTAACAAGATTCTATTAATTTCTACTTCTCTTCAAAAGCATGACAAGATCTGCTAACTTTTAGCCTAATAAGTTTATTCAGCTCTTTTAGTATTGGGATGTTTTTAACCCTTTAGCCAGGTCAACACTAAATTATTTTCCTATTTATAATTGTCTTTTCCTATCCTTCTCATAATATACATTTCTTCAGTAATCAAATCCTAAAAATATATGTCTCTATTGTTTTATTAGTTCACATGGTATTAGATATCTATTAAATATTTATTTTCTATAAGGTATTGTTTACGAGTATGAAAGGCAGACCAACAAATGAGAAGGCTATTAATTATCCATGATTATTGGAATCATAGGAAAATGATAATTCTATGATTAAAATTTGGATAAACATTTCAGTTAGTTAGTCAATTGGGACTCAATTGGAAATGTACAACACAATAAAATAAGTTTGGCATCACTTGGATACATCGTACACTCAGTTTAATTTTTTTTTTTAAAATATCAACTAGAAACTGACATTCGATCTCTTTTATAGAAACACTACGTGTGTTCAAGATATTTATGCTGCTATGTATGATTTATGAGATCAATTATCACTTACTAAATCTCACGAGTTAAAGGATTTTAAACCTTATAATTCTGAGAATGAAGATTAGTGGTTGGTCAAGTTCTTGACAATATTACGATCTAGTTTTGAAGGATTACGTGGAACAAGCCTTCATCGCAGACCTCCTCCCACATTAGATTCACTTGTTCATGATTTGATTGCATAATAAACTCTACTCCAATCTTAGACTAATAAAGGGTATAATGAAACCATTAATCTTGTTGATTTTGCTATTCCACAACGAGCTCAGTCTGGAAATCAATTCCGACCTAAAGTTTCCTTTGGTGAGTGTGGATTTTGTAAATAGAAAAATCATTATAACCCCCAGGTTCTATTGTTAATTAACAAGGCAAAGTAACAGTAATGACCTCCTGGCCAATTCCAACCTCCACATCAAGCCAAGCCTTCTATTCAATTTCCTCCATGCTTGTCGGATCCACCAATTTTTCCTTTACAACTTACTCTTATTGGTGCTTCTTTTGTAGCGACTAATTCCAAGACTTCATTTACACCGCCATCTGCTTTCGATCCTCATATTTTTGAGCAAAACAAATAGTTCCTTGCCACCAATCATGTTTCCATTTTAGTATATATGTATCACTCCATTATGTCTTCCTCTAGCACTTTGACTCTTGCTTCATCCTCATAAAAATTGGACTCAGGTGCATCATACCATATGTCACCCATTTGTCATCTTTAGTTGCATCATCTCTTTGTTCACTAGCTTTTGTTATGTCTAATCGTACATCACACCATATGTCACCCCACCCACCCCAAACCCTATCCCCAACCATAGCCCACACCCAACCACAAAACAACCATATGCCCACATACATTACGTCTACCAATTATGGTATAAGGAGTATATATACAAGATGGTATGTGGGTTATATCGTATACCCTTACAACAATATCAACCCACACACCCCTAACCCTAGCCCCAACCTTATATCACAACCAACCACACAACAACCATATGCTCACACACATTACCTATACCAATTATAGTATATCGAGTATATACGCAAGATGGATCGTGGGTTATATCATATACCCTTATAACAAGATCAACTGACCTGCCCTTAACCATAGCCCCAACCTTACCCCACAGCCATCCACACAACAAAAATATGCACACATCATTACATCTACCAATTATGGTATATCGAGTATATATTCAAGATGGATAATGGGTTAACCCAACCACCCCTAACCCTAACCCCCACACCCCACCACATGGCAACCATATGCCCACATACATTACCTTCAACAATTATGATATATATATTATATATTCAAGATGGATCATGGGTTATATATTTCCCCTTCAGCCTTCCACATCTACCAAACCTTACCAGTTTTCTTTTGCAACCATAATTTATAAACTTAGACCTCATCTTAGCCTTTTTTTTTTCAATTCCATCTTCTGCCATATCATCATATATATTGAGTTCCTCATACATGATGCCTCCTCATACACGAAACATTGAGATACAAGTTTTGTTAGTATTTTATTAATGAAAAAATGATCACACGTTAAACGCACGACCTTAATCTATAACGTCCTCAAGCATAATGAAATAGAAATGTAATAGTCTGATTAATTGATTTACTTATAGTAAACACACGCCTTAGTGTTGTAGATGAGCCATGTATCACCCGATTATGTTAGTCAATAAAGAAGACTTTGATTGTGATGGAATACTTAAAAGCGGTTTTTAGGGTTTATAATAATCAGTTTCCATATTAAAGTTGCTTTCCTAATAACTCGACAATACCTATGAAGATTGGAATTGGTATAGTTTTTGCAGTGACAATGAATATGAATTCCCTCCTTGTGTTGGAGCCGAAAATCATCATGTAATCGTTTTCCCTAACCAACGTTCGTTTTTGTGTTAGTAAAATCAAATTGCTTCCAGAATCTGATATGATACACACTCATGAACCCTAAAAGTGTTTTGAAACTTTAGAAATTTTCAGGGAATGATTTTGTGGGATCTTTTAACTATTTTAAAAATAATTACATTATTGATCCTTTTAGATTAATATTTCAATTTAGAATACAAATACATAAAAGTTTAAAATGAATAAAAATTATTTTGAAATTCTAAATAAGGTTATGCCAAGTTACAAATGGCAATAATGTGATAATAATAATATTTTACAATATTAAAATTATAAAGTTGAAACCATCAGTATTTGAAATAAATTATTTTAAGGTCATTTTCAAGATGGATCGTGGATTATATCTTATACCCTTACAACAAGATCAACTCACCTACCCCTAACCCTTGCCCCAACATTACCCCACACCCAACCACACAACAACCATGTTCCCAAATACATTACCTCTACTAATTATGGTATATGGAGTATATATGCAAGATGGATCATGGGTTATATCTTATACCCTCGCAACAAGATCATCCCTCTCACCCTTAACCATATCCCCAACCTTACCCCACACCCAAGCACACAACAACCATATGCCTACATAGATTACATCTACCAGTTATGGTATAACAAATACATATATGCAAGATGATATATGTGTTATATCTTATACCCTAATAACAAGATCAACCTACCCACCCTTAAACCTAGCCCCAATCTTACCCCACACTGAAGCACACAACAACCATATGCCTGCATACAATACATCTACTAGTTATGGTATAATCAATATATATATATATATATATATATATATATATATATATATATATATATATATATATATATATGCAAGATGGTATATAGGTTAGATCTTATACCCTTACAATAAGATCAACTCACCCACCCTTAAACCTACCCCCAACCTTACCCCACACCCAAGCACACAACAACCATATGCCTACATACATTACATCTTCCAATTATGGTATAATCAATATATATATATATATATATATATATATATATATATATATATATATATATATATATATATGCAAGATGATATATGTGTTATATCTTATACCCTTACAACAAGATCAACCTACCCACCCTTAAATATATCCCCAACCTTAGCCCACACCCAAACACACAAAAACAATATCCCCATATACATTACCTCCACCAATTATGGTATATGGAGTATATATGCAAGATGGATCACGGGTTACATCGTATACCCTTACAACAAGATCACCCCACCCACCCCTAACTCTATCCCTAACCTTACACCACAAAACCACATAACAACTATATGAAAAAATATATTACATCTACCAATTGTGGTACAAGGAGTATATATTCAAAATGGTATATTGGTTATATGTTATACACTAAAAACCAGATCAACCCACCCACCCCCAACCCTAGCCCCAACCTTTCCTCACACCCAACTACACAACAACCATATGGCCATATACATTACCTATACAAATTATGGTATATTGAGTATAGATGCAAGATGTGTCATGGGTTATATCTTATAACCTT